CAGGGCCACCGTAGATCTCTGCAAAAACTAAATACACCCTTGCTGATTCCAGATAGCAACCAAGTGCTGCTAATCAAATGCACATGATTAAAAGATCATCAGAAAGTGTGAGCAACTCTATGAGAGCAGAGGAACTCTGTTTGATTAAAGAATTCAGAAAAATAAAAAGCTGGTACTTCTGTATGTGGTCCTAATCTGGGTACCCATTTGACTTTTTGCAATCTGAATTTAGTCATATGTGAATTTCTTCAAATTCTTCATCAACTTGCATCAACATTTCCCACAATTCAGCAGGAATCACTTAGTGGAAAAAAACCCAAATGTCAGACAGATGCTCTGTCACTGACAATGGTTTTGCTCATTTTTGTTTTGCCTTTTTTGGGAGGCTGTTAGGGTTTTTGGGGTATATTCATGGATGCGCTTTTACATGTCCTTGACCAAAAGCTGCTTTTAATTAGAATCACTCCTTGCTGTGGAGCTTCAACAGTGATGGCCTCTGGCTCGTGCTGTATGAGTGGAGCCTTCAGTTCTGAGAATCAAAACAAGGAGAAAGGAAGGAGAGGTGTGGTGAAGGAGATTCATGAAAGGTTATTAAGTTTCTACTACTTTCATACGCCTTACACCATTTCCCCCCCCTCCCTCTGTTTGTCTCTCTCGCTCAGCCCTTCTAACTCTTTCCACCTTGCCTCCTCACATCCTAAATCTTCTCATTTAGATTATCCCTACTGCAGTGAGTGTAACTGAGTAGCAATGGGTAGTTTTCATGGTTTTCTCTCTCTCTTTCCTTTACTCTCCCCCTTCCTTAATCTCCTCCATGTACATGACACTAATACAGAGACTGATATAAGCCCCCCTGCCTCTCTCTATGACATTTATCACTGTGCTTCTTAATGCAGGCAGGCTGCCTCTGTTGATGAGAAATAAGGATGACAAGCATGGCCTATTTTCTAGCTAACGGTCTTTGCTATTTTCCACTTTTTTGGGAGGAAATATGCTTGCAGAGAAGTGTTTACTAAAGCATCTCATAAGGCAGTTGACAAGAATTTGACAGTCATGTTGATCATACATCTGGCACGTTTTTTGTCAGAGCTGATGGGATCCATTAGTGTTTCAGATCATGCAAAATGATTTCAGACAGTGCCTGGAGAAACACTAAATCTGATAAATTAACATTAAAGATAAATACACTTCTACCATTTTTATAAGCCATTCACTATCCTGGTGTCTTTATGAAATCAAATGTACTTATCCTAGTGATTCACCTGTCACTTCTACCAATTTACCATGCTCTGTCCAGCATAAATGTGCTATGTTATAGCAACAAAAAGTTAAATCTGATAGTAAGTTAAAAAGTCCATGTATAAAACTTGTCTATCGAGGAATCTAAACTTGACTTTTTGAAGAAAAACGTACAGTATTGTGTCAAGATCCAGTCACATTAACTCATTCACTGCCAGCCATTGGCAGTGAATGAGTTAAACCCATTGACTCATTCACTGCAATTGACGGCTATAGACGTCAATGGCAGTGAATGAGTTAATCATCTGGTCGTTTCCTCTCCACCTCATAGTAATTTCAGGACTCATGTGTGGTAGGGATCTTCATGTCTAACTAAGCTAACATGAAGTCAGATTCACCGCAGCTGCAACCAGAGGTCCAAAATATGCCTAAAGGGATCTCTGTGCTTCCCACTTCACTTCGTCTATCACTAAACACATTCCTTATTACTTTGTCATCCCAAACACTTATCTTATCTTATCTGATGATCATTTCCTTGGTTAGTCAGTGAGTGATCCACTGCTTGCTCATCATGTGACAACAACCAAGAGGGCAAAGGCCAAAATGGCAAACTCACAGCTTGAAAATGGGAGTTTAAAAACCTGCATGGTGATTTTCATACAGGTCTGTGGGCCGCCCTTTGGTTCTGTGTGAAGATTAATCATCTCCTACAAGGTTTTTTAACACAGTCCATCCCATTTTTAAGTCAAACAAGCCACAGAGAAATTTCCAAAAAAATATATAAAAAATTGTAAAATGTATAATATATAATTATATATTAACCTCTAAAAAAAAGAAATGTTGCTTGGCTTTTCCTGCCAAAAATTCCCCGTGGTTCACTGACAGCTGGTTTTAAGTGTGTTCATTAAGTTGAACCTGCTCCCCTACTCAAAATGACCTTTCAGACATTTAGTCCTTTTCATTAATCTGACAGCAAAATTATGTGTGTTGGCTTCATGTCTTAATGAGCTGTTCGTTTTCTGTAAAAGCGGCCCCGCATAGTAAAATTTACATATCGCTCTCTACATTTACACACATCTGAACAAACACCGTGACTAGGGAATTGCTTATCTTACTGGAGAATGCCACTAACAAGCACAACAAGCAAATAATAGCACATTATCTCACCAAATAAAATTAAGGCATGGTCACGTGCATTGTGATGCATTTTCCCAGTCCCAAATCAAGAAGAGCGATCTCTGTCTTGCATACAAGGATCAGGGCAACTCATCTCTTCAGCGCACACATGCACAGGCTCAAGTGACAGCTTTGAAGAGAATTAAACATTCAAAAGTGTGGCTACACTTTACCAGAGTCGCTGCTGACAACGCTTAATAGTGAGTACAAGTGCTGAATGAAGTGCAAAACATCAACATGATTTATGTCCGAATGACAGAATGTCACCGCTTTAACAGATTGATGAAGCCAGCAGTTTTACATATCCTGTCTGAAAAGGGCAAAAAAGAACAAGACGACTGGCATCCGGCTGTCAAACAAGCAACAAAGTTCCCATCCACGAGATCATTGCTGTTTAAATATCAGCCACCACCCCTTAGCTATGGACTTCGAGAGAAAATTGGAAAGATAATCACGCTGCTCCTGCATGTGACCTCAGACTTAATGAAAAATGAACATGCCAGCTCTAATGGGCCTTTGTAGGAGCATTGTTCTTTATAGCCTATACAGAATAATAGATTTTTAAGCACTTGATTAACAGAAGGACGGCAGCCACCAAAGACCTTCCACAAAAGGCCATTATTCAGCTGTCTCTCACTCAGGCACTTGATAAATGCCACTAATGCTTAAAATATAAATGGCACAATAAATATAAATAACACTTTGGCCCACATGTTGTGTTTCCATGCCAATCTGTAAGTTTGCAAAGAGAGAGGAAACTAGGACAGGGAAAGTTGGATTCATCATCCTTAATGCCTTCTGTCACTTCAATTGGATATTACCAGACACTGTCCCCTAATTTAGACATCATATCCTGTCCCAAGAGCCCCGCCTCATTCGCCCAACCCGTCTGTCTCACCCTGGCATAACCCTAATGCATCCCCATGTGAGACCAGAGCAAGTGTGTTTGAAATCAAACTGAGACCTCTCCTTTTATCTCCCTTCCCCTCTTGTCTGCTCTTCTCTGTCTCTCTCCCAAACACTCTTCCTAGTCCTTTTTCTCTCCTCTTGCTCAATTCCTCTCTGCTTTTATCTCCACTCTTTTTTCTCCTACACCATCAGAATGAACAATTTGTATGAATCACAGGCTCTCTATCCAGGCTCACTTATAGTGACATCCCCCCACTGGTTTTGTTAGCAGAACTCCTGCTCGCTAGCTCCATACACATCATTATTTGATGTCCAATGTGATTTCACTGAAAGAAAAAAGAACGTCACTGCCTCAGTGGCGCTGCCCTGGCATGTAACCCCACACAATGATCATTTCAGCCAACCTCAGATTGTTTGATTGGCATTCACTGCTGTGTTTGCCAGGAGTGCTGGCAGTACATTGCTGTTATTTGCATAAAACAGGAAGGGGCTCAGATTCCCCTGCTGTTCCACGTTTCGCTGCCCTTGCTGCACCCCAAAGAAATATCTGAATGTGATTCGCAGACAAGAAATTAAAAAAGAAAAGAGAAACATATTAGCTGGCCTTGTGCAGTTTTGCACTAATACTCAACACTTCTCCTTTCCTGGTTTGAGACTTTCTCTCTCTCCACTTTTTAGCCCAGCGTGAATCTTTCCGTACAAATCCTACCCATTTTTCTCTCTCTTATACTCCTACATAGAATCCTTTTAAACATGTCCTGGTAGGAGTCTTGCTCCACAGTGTGAACCTTTTACCTTCGTGTGCTGCTGATCAGTGAGATCTGGATTTGGTCCTGGGTTGACAGCGGGCGATCGTTCTCCCTGTGGTTTGACTAGCTGACCAATAATGGAGGCAGACGAAGGACGCGGTTCAAGCAGAGGATGGGATGATAAGCAGGAAGGAAAGGAATAAGGAGGGGTTTTAATTGAGAGTAGGAAAGAAAGAGAGGGTAAATATAGAAGGGATTAAGCATTGTGGCACTTAACAGTAATGACTGTGCTCTTATTTAACCCTTTCCAAGTAACTCCTCTGCCTGTCTGTCCTGTGTATCTGTCTCTGTGTGTCTGTCTGTGTGACTCTGCTGGCTCTAAACCTCTAACCTGCGGCAAAGTCGGCACAATACTCGAAATAAACCGCTTTTTTTCTAAATCCTTCTCTCATTTTTGTTTCAATCTTCAACTGAAACGTGTGGAGAGGCAAACCTGGCTCACACCAACATGAAGTATAGAACCAAGGATCATCTCAGTAGTAAAGGCTTTGCCCCAGCTGGCAAAGGGGGGAAGGGCGGCAAAAACTGAAGTGCCAGCAGCTGGACTGAAATGCATATAGAGCAAAATGTCTGCAAAATGCAGCACAACAAGCCTCTGGGAGAGAATGAATGAGTCCCATTCAGCCTGATCCCAGCAATGACTGACTGCACCCTCACTAAGGGATTACACTGAGAAGAACATTACCACACACTTGTAAGAGGATTGTAACACACGTAGAAGAAGACACTACTCCTATCACTACAGCACACTCACAATAAGAGAAGAACTGTCAATACCTCCTCCAAAACAGCCGTCATTTCCTTCATTTTTCTTTTCCTCCACCCATTTTTCCATCCCTCCTTCCAACCCCTTCATCCCCTCTGCAGAAGCCTTGGAGGATCCATCCAGTGCCGGTGTAGTGGCAGGCGCAGTGATCGGCTCCCTTCTGGCTCTGCTATTGGTTGTTGCGCTCATTGCCGTCCTCCTGACCCGCAGCCGCCGGCAGCAGAGGCGCGGGTACCCCAGCAGTGGGGACTCCATTGCAACAGGCAGCGGTGGAAGCAATGGCGGAGACTATGGCAACAAAGCCCGTCTGCTCTTCAGCAACTCCGGTAACAACAGCAGCAAGAATGGGACTGGCACAAACAACAACGGGCCCATCTACACGTATCGGGAGGGCTGCGATGCCACGGGAACTCTAACAGAAAAGGCCAACGACTACCACCATCATCATCTCCACCACGCCTCAACCGGCAACGCTCCTACTGCCCATGACATCCTTCTTAGCAGTGAGATGGATGAAGCTGAGAGGAGGAAGTTTGACCTCGATGACAGCATGGAGGAAGAAGAGGAGCGATACGACAGATTTGGAGGAGCGGGCGGAGGCGGAAACATTCTGCCTCCAGCCTATCACGTCCACCGAGGCCACGCTGGCGAAGAAATGGATGTGTACCTGGACGACGACATGGAGTCTCAGAGAGACGGCTCTGTTATTTCCCGGACTGCCATTTACGTCTGAGGAAGAAGGGGACGGATGGAAACGGCAAAGGCTGAAGATAAGGAAAGGAGATGTAGTGGAGGAAGTGGTGCATCCGAGCCAGCCCCTTTCACCTCTAAACAAATCAGCATCACCTCCATTAGCTAGACACCTGCCTGCTTATCATTCAACCTGATTAAAGATCTGCCATCAGTTATATCCTCTCAGCCTGACAGTGACCGTATACTTTGATGAAAGGTGGATTTAGCGAAAAATAATAAAAAGTTGTTGTTAGGCTGATAAAGGAGGACTTGCAGTGGAAATAGTGCACTGTGGCTGAATATGTGACTGTGTTTAACTGTGTCATGGAGAAGATTGGATTCAGTGTCACGGGAATAAAAAAATACTGCCAAGAGCAAAAAAAGCTACAGTAACTCTGACGCAATGCTGCTTATTGCTACGTTCTTGTTTCTTCAGCTTTGCTGTGTGATTATGTGCTGAGTGACTAAACTGTTTGTATTTTATACCTTACCAGAAAATGTAATCAGCAAAATCTGAAGCACCATAATCACTTAAGAAAAAATCACCACTATCCAAAACTCGCCTTTCTGCTTCAAAAGAAAATAAAAATCGTCATCACGTTGAACTCTGTGTTAAACTGTCCGAAAGGCTTCTGTGGATCTTGCTGACGCGATGAAGATGCCAGCTCTTCTGACTTCACTCGAGGCATTTCGAAACTTGAAAAGGCCAAACTTGTTTCTGTTAATCCCAGAGACGACTTTGTTTGGGCTTACTGTGACTCCGGGTTCCCGCTGCACCCCGCGACACCACATGGTTTCCTGATGGGTGCCGCTGAAGCGAGAGCCACCAAACTGAGTAACATAACAGACTTAACAGTATGTGCTAATGTGTGGCTGGCTGTGGTGTTAATGATGTGCATCATCTATATATTGGGCGCCGTCTCACGATAGCACAGTTGTTGTTATTGTTGTTGTTGTTGTTCTAGTTGTTGTTGTTACTGTTGTGTAATGGTGTTGATCTCGCTAAGGAAAAGATGCACCGACACACTCGGGGGTTTCACACAGTTCCACATTGGATCGGTAATGACTCATTTAATGAATTTAAAAAAGATTATTTGTTTCCGACTCAACTTTTTCCCTTTCCAGTTTTGTTTTCTCCGTGTTATCGCCATCTTTATTTCCCCCCTTTTCTATCCACGCCATCTCGTTCTGTTCCACATGAATTCTAAGCGATTTGTATATTGTCCTTTCACTCTGTCCCACACACATTACATCTCTCCCTCTCATTCTGGGCTTTCTTTATTTACATAATGGGCGGCTTAGACTGCCGCAATGACTGTGTGCAGGGAGAAGTGGATAACTTGTATTTATATTCCTATCTGGGTCGCATTCAATGAGGCAAAATATTCACCGGCTTTGTTGGGGGCTGCTGTATTTCATGTATTCATTTTCCATGTCCCGCCGAATGTTCTTACGCCATGTAGCGGATTATTCCGTGTTCGGCGCTCTGATTGGACAGAAAGACACAGTCCAAGATATATTTCAAGAGAGGATGTGAAAACATTCAAAATTAAATCCTAAACTCTCAAGCCTTTGTTTCTTGTCCACTGCAGAAGTACAGGTAGTGGTACATGTCTGGTTAAAATAAGTGACCCATCTGTTGACGGGGCGCAGATGCTTCACTTTTCCGGAAGATAATAGTGCCGGGGAATTTCTTGAACGTGCAAATATGCATTGGAAAAGGTTACATATTTTCATGATTTTTGTTTGATTTTGTTTTATTAAGGTACTCCTCTGAACTGTTGGTAGAATGGATTTTTTCCAACATATTTGTTAAGACATAACAAGAATTGGAAACTGACACTGAGCTCATATATTGTTGGAACATTTTTGCCTTATTGATTCAAAGGTTTTTCCTGCTCATATTTTTATTGTTAGACATCCAAATGGTCTTTTGTGTGTATGTGTGTGTTTTTTTTAATTAAGTCTTGAATCACTTGTCTTTATTATGCCAAACTGCTTGCGATGGCACACTTGGAAGATCTGGGCAGGGAAATCTTACAGCTCAGACAGACGTCTTTTGAGATGCAACGACAGCCAACAAGGACACAGTTAAAGCGTAATAGAGGAGTGGTGCCTAGATGCTTCAGCAGCTGAACTGAGCACATCTTCTGCTTTTCAAGCTCCCTATGCTACATCACAAACACGCACTGAATTACTATAGATGTGCTGTGTTTGATTGGGTGGTGTTTGTTTTGCAGCTGAGAGTACAGTCAGTAAATCCAGAAATGAAAAAAAGTTTGGTATTAACAGTCATTTACACTATAGAGTATTTTAGAAATATTTATGAAAAAAAGGGAATCTTTAAGGAATGTGATTATAGTTAATCACGGAGCAGTCAGTACATTTAGAGCGCGGACCGTTTATAGAAAGTTATTTTTCAAATTTACATTGTAAATCTATCGTATTTCATTATGATTATTTTTTATGTCTAAGTGCTTTGTAAGAGTATTTTGTCATGAATAACGAAGACATTATTGCCCAACATGGAATATCTGTGGGTTGTAGATCTGAACATGGACTTGTTTGTGAAATGAAAGCAGAGATATTTAAAAGTCAAAACCTTATTGATTTTTTTTGGTGTGTGCGTGTGCGTGTGTTTTTAAGAAGACTGTATCAGCTCTACTCCCACCCAAGTCCTGAGCAGGTCCCTTGTTGTTGATTGTTGTTGAACATTATGCGCTGTGCAATCTGTTGTTCTGTAATTGAGACAGTCCTATCTGCTATGTTACAAAGCATTTCAGTGCAGACATTTCATGAAGCCTCACAGTGTGTTTTGACAAGTTGCCAATTAATCTCAGAAGCAGCCATAGTGTTCTTTTGGTTGTCACATGTACTACATGTAGTAGGACTTGTTTATTGTATCCCTGGAGAGAAGTTTGGGTTTAAGTATTTAAGTGTATTTTCTACTCCGTCGGGTGCATGCATGCTCCAAGGTCCTTACTTTTAAACTCTGGAACTCCAAAATATGAAAAAGTCATTTTCTGATTGTCATGCTTCAGATACACTGTATCGTCTAATGTATCTTATTCAGTACTTAGAGATATTTTTTTAATGCATTTCTGTATTTTCCAAGTGAAAATAAGCCCCTCCTCCTCCTTTTTTACTGTATAATGTGTTAATGATTTTCACCCTGAAAATGAAACTTTTTTGGAGGCACCCGCTTTCATCCCCCTCCAGCATATTTACCCTCAATTTGGCCAATGCATGCCTCGACGCATCTTTTCTCTTAGGGGTTCTCACAGCGCCATAATTTTAAACAGTTGACTGTGATCACAACTTTGCGCCTAATTAGTCCCGGAGTCTTGTACCATGGATGCACCCTTAGTGAGAAAACTCATCATCATTCATAACTTTTGTTTTTGCACAACCCATTTTCAATAAAAGAAAATCTTTCTGAGATAATTCCCTGTGGAAAAACTGGTAATTAATTAAGCAGAGCTGTCTTATTAGACTATAAATATCAGACTCTCACAACTCTTTTAGGGTTTTCTTAGAACTCAGCACATTTCACAGCACAATGTAGTGCAGTGCACCTGCTCTGGATATTTAGCCTCTTTAACAGACGGGCCACAGGACCCACAGGTTTTGCCATTTTAAGGAGCAGTACGCTCTATGTGTTACAACAGTGTCCTTTAAGTTCATACTTTTGCACATTGTTACATCTGCTTACACAGCATGTAATACTTTTGCTTGCCATGCAGCACAATGCCCCATTTAAAGCTGGCATTAATGTGGGATTTGTATTTGGATAATGGCTTTCAATCCACAGACCTCTGGATTTAGACCTTTTATTTAAACATATTCTAACGGTTTTGATTCTAACAGCATGTGCATGCAAAGAAGTGAGGAAAATGTGACTAAAATGACACTTTTGTAAACTGTTACTGATCAAGGGACATTGTGCATTAGAAAGACATTTATTTATACAGTAATCACTTTTTGTGCAGACTTATTAACCAAACCTAAGCTTGCAGGAAGAGGCAAGATTACATCCTTAGGTAACATGCTTAATTACTTTCCTCACCTCCTCTCTTCATACCTTAGACACCTTAGATGCAAGCAAAGAAGACAAGGAAGAGACCAGAGGAGAGACGAGTTGAGGCATTTGGCATATATTGAAACTGGACAAACTAGCTTCATTTTAAAAGTTTATATCAGTTAAATAAGACAACTTACAAAAACAAAAGAAACATGGTTTGTGTTTTCCAGCTCCATGTTGCACCTGTTTTTATACATCACAGTTAAAAAGACTTTCACAAAAGATACACCCGTGCATCTTATCTGGCATCTTCTCCTGTAAGCCTTCTCGCTTCTTAAGATTCATTTCTGGAACCTGCACAATACACAGGCAGGGGGGGAAAAAAAGGCAGGCGAACAGGAACAAAATGAAGAAATGAGAAAAGACCACTGCATTTTCACCTGGAAGATTTGCAATTGCAGTTCAAGTCAGACAACCTCCAAAAATGTCAGTTCTAATAATGCATTCTGTTTGATTTCGCACCTTCCAATACTAGGTGCTTTTCCATCATCCAGAAACACATCAAAATTTTATACAGGATGCAAAAAGTTTTGTAGCGTCCCTCAAGAACATCTGCTTATAGAAACTTAACAAGAAGAAGAAAAAAAATCACACATCGAAATTCTGTTTTCAGATTTACTGTATATGATTTAAAAATATGCTAATATGACTTTTTTATATTAAGTGAATCGGACTACTCTTGGCCTTTCCGGTGAGTTGGAAATGGGGCCATGCTTGTTACAAATGTCCTCTTCTGAGCTTTTGTTTGCCACCCTGACTCACATGGTGCGTGCTCTGGGAGGTTGTGGTCCTGAATGCAACCCCTGTAAAGTCTCGTCCTTGCTGCTGTGTGTGCGGCACACAAGCTAAGCAAAGCACACTGTAACAGGTCACTTGGCTCTGTCGGAGGGAAAGAGACTGGAATGAAGGGAGGGGAGGATCGAGAATGAGGGTGGTAGCTCAATGCTCCGCCTGGGGAATGCCAAATAGGCCTGGAGTGAGGAGAGAGCAAGGAGGACTTTTTCTTCTCAGATCAGAGAAACTGAGAGTCAGAAAAGACGAGACAGAACAGCAACTGAAACCTCAGCTCCTGCAGAGAGGATGAGAAGACATCTCCAGGTTTTTTTTGTAAACCACCTGAGACCAGAAACATTTGAAACACTGTCATTTATTCACCATCAAGCCTGGAGTTAGAGATGGGCAGATTTGTTGGTTGTGGAGCCCAATTGGTTGGCTGCAGCACAAAGATGGCAATGTGTGTGAAAGGAATAAGAGATTGGCAAGATGGAATTTACAGCTCTGACAATGAAAGCTTGAGGTGCGTAGGAAGTCTCTAAGGAGTCTTTCTGAGTACTATGCCACCTCTCCACTTGGCGATTGGCAGCTTCCACCCAACAACAACTGACAGTCCTTTTCAACCCGGCCAATTAGTGAAAAAAGCCTGTCCTGTTTAGCTTTTCTCAGCGCGGTCTATCTGCGACAGATCTTTTTAATTGTAAAGAAATGTTCAGCAGTCCTCCAGAGACCCTTGTGCAGGGGCGGAATTGTATATATTCTCCTTTTTCATATTCCATCTCTCTTTGCTTCTGCTTTAGCACCCAGTACAAGCTGTTCCTGGCATGTTTAATTCAGTAGAAGGCATAAAAGTGTTCTGCATTATCTTTCTCTGCTTTGGTTTAAAGGAAGAGGAAGACGGCAAGACAGAAAGAGAAGGAGAGGGAAGGGGATAGAGGGGAAGAGAGTAAAGCGAGAAGAAGAAGAGGCCTATTAGTTATTGAGCTTGGCTTTTCTTGTTAATCCAGTTAAAGCCGAGCCTCTGCCGGGCCAGCTGAGACTCCGGCAGATGTGGATAAAGTTTCTTCCTCCCAACACTGGTTAGAGGAGATCTCATTGTGCTCTGTAACCAATTTACTTAACGCAGCACTGTCCTGCTTTCCTGCTTCTCCGGATACCTTCCTCTTCTCCCACAGTGCTGCTCTTGCAGTGTTCTGTGCTATACTTAGGGATGTAATTCGTCATGGCTTTTTTTTTCATCCAGGTTATTTCAGGTTCTGGAGATGTGCACTCATATGAATGGCTATTCATTTCAAATGAAAGCTTTTTCACTTGTGTTTTTGCATGCGGGAAATCTTCAATAGATTGAGATGAATCACTTCACGTATTTCTCTCATTTTTTCACACACACACAGCCCCGCAAGATGAGTTGAAGTGCTCATTCAAGAAACTCTGCATTTTTCCTTTTGTATCCATGTTGTTTTTTGTGGTCTCTAACTAGTTTTGATAGTGACTCGACTCAACACAATCTCAAACACACATATATTTAGATACATTGTTTAGAGTTTGCTGAACTTTTCCACAATATTTTGGGCACCTCTTGACCTCAGCAAAAATAACTCCAATTCAGAATCGCTGCTGTATAAGATATCTTTGCACATGTTCTTCTGCACATCATCTGCTGCAGATTAATTTTAAACATTTGGCTTAATTGGTAAAGCTTTTTTTTCACTGCTTATTCATTTCCTAACATTCCTGTTTGCTAATGTTTTTGTTGAAAATATTGGGAGAATCAAAAGAGTACATTTGCAAGCCATTAAACCAAACCAGTGATCTGAAAAATGTTAAAAACAGGAGTTGTTCAGCTACACTCCTGAGTTACACACTTACTTTCCACAGTTAAAAATGGTTTGGGCCTTTTTTCTTGTCTGTTTTCTTGTCTCATCAGAGTTAATAGCAGAACTAGTACTTTAACTGTCAAGTTTCCTTGACAGTGGACAAATGTTTTTTTGTCCTTGTCTCTCCTCAAGACATCATGGCTTCACAAAGCTCTTCAGCTTAAGTACTGCTCTGCATTCCTTCTTCTCATCAGGGTAAAGAGTTATCTTCTATTCAATGATTTTCAACAAAAAAAAAGAAAAGAAAGAAATCTCAATACACTAAAGATTCAGGGAGCGTTTCTTTAATGAACTGGATCAAAATAGACCCTTGTGTTGCAAGAGAGCCAACTCTTTCACTTGATTTAGAATGAACATGGCAATGTATCAACTGCTAAACCTTTTCTTTGATGGTGACCTTTACATTGATGTTCAGACAAAGAGAACTCTGTAAGCTTTTTATCCATTGCCCTAATAAAGCCATTTTTAATCATTCATCTTTTCGGTGAAAAATATTCAAACTTTTATTTCCCCCTGCCTGAATGACCCTTATAATCTCTTTGCTTTGCTTTGCTTTGAATCAAAAGCCTCTCTAATGTTTCAACTTGTGTGGAAAACAGTTCTGATTTTATGTTGTGCCAACCAAAAAACATCATGCCCAAAGCGCTGACATCACTTTGCTAGTTTTTGATGTAAAGCAGCCTTTAACTCCTTGTGAACCTAAATATATCTTTGGATTTCTCATTAATCCTAAATGCAAAATTGATGCTAAGGGATGAATCTCTCAGATCTTCGAATGACTCAGTATCGTGCTTTTAAAGGCTCCAAGCACTGTGATTTGGCAACTGCACAAATGAGAAGCGTTTAACCAAAACATCCTCAAAACCCAAAATGTGCTCCAACTGAGAATGACGCACTTGTGTAAAACAAGAGAGCTGGTAATGGTATCAGATTTTACATTCTGGATTTCAGCATCCTATTGGCAGTTTAAGATTTCATGATCTGCTGGTTACAGGTTTTCTCCATCTGTCTGCAGAGATGCATTCTCTAATAGTGAAATCACTATGTGGTTGTGGTTTGCCAACCCAATATATTTCTACAAATATTTAGCTTGAAAATGATCTAATGAAAAATAAAGATGAATGCTTTAACTTTACTGTGGGCACGCCAACATGCTCAGCATTTAAATTGCTTTCAACAAGGCAAAGTTGTTGGTTCCAAATACACAGGTCTGCATATTTTGGAAACTGCTTATCTAGTGGTATTTTCACACGCAACCGTCTCTAGAGTTTGCAGGGAATGGTCCAAAAAAAGGCGAACTACCCAGTAAACAGCCAGGCTGATGTCAGAGGAGAATGGCCAGACTGCTTTGAACTATAAGGAAAGCAACAAAAACTGAAGTACATGACTACTTGTTACAACCAAGCCATGCAGAAAAACTCATCTTAATGCACAACATGTTAACCCTTGATGGATATTTCACAATAGAAGATGGACAACATTGCCAGGTCTGGTAAGTCGAATGGATTTCTGCTTCAACATTCAGACAGTAGGGTCAGAATTTGGCACAAACATCTTGAAAGCAAGGATCCAGCCTGACATATATCAGCAATTCAGGCTGCTGATTGTGGTGTAATGGTGGGGAATATTTTTTTGGGTTTATATTTTACCCCTGAGTACCAAATGAATATTGCTTAAACACAACAGTCTACCTTAGTATTGTTGCTAACCATTTCTGTCCCTTTATGACCACAAAGTGTTCATCTTTTGATGGCTAAATCCAGCAGGATAACATACCATATTGCAACGCTCAAATCATCTCAAATTGGTTTCTTGTACATTACAATGAGTTCACTGTAACTCAAATAGCCTCCAAAGTCATCAGATCTCAATCCAATAGTGCACATTTGGACGTGGCATGGATGTGAAAATCTGCAGCAGCTGCTTTATACTATCATGCCAATGTAGACAAAAATCTGAGGAATATTTCAAGCACCTTGAAATTTTAGGCATCATGACCAGGAAGATTTAAGGTAGGGGGTAAAACCTGGTACTGGCTTCTAAGTATATCCCTTAGAATCAAAGACATTGCTTGGTCAGGGTCATGGTTTTATTTTAGTGGGTTTCATTCTGTTTTAGATTGTAGTTGGTTTGGCAATATTTTCTTGGTTTCATAATGGGGTTTTGGATTAACTGGTCAATGACACATCCTGGTTAAAACTATGATTACAAATTATTTCTGCTATGGGTTATTTTTTAGATTATTACGTTTTAATAAAATACTTTTTTCCCCCAAGTGACTGCCCCAAACATACACTGGGACTCATGCAGAAGAAGCTGGTATATCTTTATAAGAGATCTATTTGGTGGATTTCTGCCTCTCATTCATGATAGAATCCCAATTCACTGTTGGGAAGCATTTTTTTTTTAACTCTAATACAGTTTGGCAGGAAATGCTTCAGGAAGTGCGCTAGAGCTACAATCACAGCATAAAGAAGTGATCAGAGACACTGAGAAATGAGAAGCCTTGAACCTAATATACAGTATAGAGCACTTTAATGCAGCATATGTAGTTTTAAATGTGTGTTTCCTGATTTGAAGATCAAACAGATAAGATAAGATAAGATAAGAAGATAAGAACAAAAGAGGTGAAATCAAAGCAAACTCCCTGTTTGAACTTTAAGTTTTGAAAATGTTCCTTCAGCTCATCGGTTGGTCTCAATAACCAGTGGTGTTACAGGTGATTTTGTGAACAACTACATAACAAAGTGCTTCTCACCAGTTCAATAGGTGCTGATAAGGCAGAAGATTCTACAGCAAAGATGTTTCCATATCAAGCCAGGAACAGGAAAAACACTTAAATAACAGTAATAAATGGAGCAGATACAATTGGACTCTTGCACTGAGAGTGCTTGGCCTCTAGATAATAAGGAGATTAAAGGTGTTCTGCTGTTAATTGTGATTTACGTTTTAAATGGGATCACAGAGTCATTGCTAGAAAAGAAACAAGCAGAGCAGAAAAGTTGATTCTGAACACCGGCAATGCTTCACTCACAGTAAACAAACGGATTTGATCAGATATTGCAGAAGTTGACTTTCAGAATATTAGCTCTCAAGAAGTGATGTTTTGGACGGGGTAAAATAATTTAGTCAGAACTTAATTTGATCGTGTTTTCCAAAGGTGTGACTGGAAGGATATATAAATGTTTTAGTAGTAAAGTTGTTACTTGCCTTAAGATTCCTTAATATTGGCTGAAATCTCATAAATAAGCCTTTTAGATTTGATTTTCTATATAAAATATGGCACTAAATAAAATATACCCCAAAAGTGAGTCAGTCTGTGTACTTCTAGCTGCCCAAGGATCAGCACGGAGTCCTGAGTATAGATTTGTTTTCGCTTATAACAGGTTTGACATTATTTCTAGTGTTCACTGGAGTTTTCATTACAGGAGCAAAAACATGTGAGCTTCTCCTCACATCTGACTGTACAGAGCCAAATAAGTTTTACAGGTTTTGAAACCTGACGCCAGAACCTTAACTTGTTTACTTATTATTGACAGCATACACATCATATAGAAAACAGTTCTATATTCTTAAATGATGATTGATCTTTTATTTGTTGCCATGTTATTGTTTGAGAGAAGACGAAACCCTTAAAATGTAATCTTTTCTGAACAACATGTTTTAACAGGATTCTCATTAATCCAATTTAAAGTGCATGCAACACATTTCAGTGACATTTTTAATTCCTTTAACAAATAGAACTACATGGAAGC